CCATCCTAGTAAAGCTAATGTAGTAGCAGATGCTATTAGCAGAAAGGCGGTTGGACAATTAGCAGTACTAATCACTATGCAGGACCAATTGTTAAAGGATTTCGAAAACTTACATCTAGAAGTAATTGTTCCACCAACCCAAACTATCACCAGGATAGCAGCTATAACGATTCGACCAACACTTAGAGATCGAATAAGAGTAGCACAGGATGGTGACTCTTTCCTACAAAAGATCAAATCCGAAGTTGGTACTAGCAAGCGAAAGGATTTTGAATTAGACAGTGATAAAGCCTTACTCTTTAAGGGAAGGTTGTGTGTGCCGAAAGATGAGGGATTGAGGAAAGAAATTCTTGAAGAAGCACACTTAACTCCATATACTGCCCATCCAGGAGGTACAAAAATGTATCGTGATTTAAGGAGTATGTTTTGGTGGAGAAATATGAAACGGTGCATAGGTCTTTTTGTCAGGAGGTGCATGACTTGTCAACAAGTGAAAGCTGAACATCAAAGGCCATCTGGATTGTTGAAACCATTAACAATTCCACAATGAAAATGGAATCATATAACTATGGATTTTGTTATGGGTTTTCCAAAATCAGCTAAGGGAAATGATGCTATGTGGGTTATAGTGGATCGGTTAACAAAGTCAGCTCATTTTCTATCTGTAAGAATGAATTTTAGTATGGATCAATACGCACGAATATACATCAAAGAGGTCATCCGTTTGCATGGGATCCCAGCCTCAATTGTATCAGATAGAGATCCAAGATTTACCTCAAAATTTTGGAAAAGTTTGCAAGAAGCTATGGGAACCAAGTTAAACTTCAGCACAGCTTTTCATCCGCAAACTGATGGGCAATCGGAGAGGACTATACAGACTTTGGAGGATACGCTGCGTGCATGCGTCCTTGATTTAGGGGGCGGTTGGGAAAGTTATGTACCACTAGTAGAATTTGCCTGTAATAATAGCTATCAAGCTACAATAAAGATAGCACTTTACGAAGCTCTTTATGGCAGAAGATGTAGAGCTCCCCTTTATTGGGATGAAGTAGGTGAACGAAGAGTTTTAGGACCCGAACTAATTGAGGAAACTAGTCGAGCGGTTGATAAAATAAAAGCTAGAATCAAGGCAGCCCAAGACCGACAAAAAAGTTATGCCGATAAAAGGAGAAAAGATTTGGCATTTAATGTTGGTAATAAAGTTTTCTTAAAAGTGGCACCGATGAAGGGAGTTCTTCGCTTTGGAAAAAAGGGAAAACTTCGACCAAGATTCGTAGGTCCTTTTGAAATTTTGCAGAAAGTTGGAAATGCAGCCTATCGAATCGCTCTACCACCAGATTTGTCAGCAATTCATGATGTGTTCCACGTGTCAATGCTTCGACAATATGTGTCAGATCAAAGTCATGTGATTAGTTATCAACCATTGGATATCAAACGAAATATGAGTTATGATGAAAAACCAGTAACAATATTGGATCGCAGAATCCAACAACTGAGGACAAAGGAAATTCCGTTAGTGAGAGTTCAATGGAGAAACCATAATGTTGAAGAGTCAACTTGGGAAAGAGAAGAGGAAATCAAGATCAAGTATCTGGCAACATATAAATACCTGCGCCATTCCGCTAAAAAAGCTTGGATTGTCTACTGTGAGAAAACACTTACACTCTTCAAAAACATATAATCTATCCTCCATTAATTTTGGTAACAGAAAAACATCAAAACCTGAAATTTAAACACCAAAACTAAAAGCTTCTAGAAGATCTGTTAGAGATTGAAGATCAAGGAAGGTGACCGGAGTTCCAGTAATTGGAGAACTAGTTCTCAAGGAATCCACAAGAGATATACGAGATCAAAAGCTAGGAGTTGGTACAGAAGCACGCAATTCAAGAGGGCTTTGGGAATTGTAGTACAGGAGGTCAGAAAGTACTTATGTTGGTCAAGTCTGGCGATACTGTGAGTTGTGTTCGTTTAAAATGGATTCATACTGACTTGTACCCAGAGTTTTTACACAGTTGGAGTTTCTCCATCATCAAATTTTTTGTGTTATTTACTTTACAGCAATTTATTGTACTGCGATAATTCAACTTAGGATAGATTGTATGTGAATTGGACTGGACTAATTAATAGATGTATTGTGCTACAATTGTTAATTGAATTTACTTAAATTTCGTGCAAACTCCTATTCACCCCCTTTAGGTGTAGTTTGGGTCAAACTGTGTAACTTTCAAGTGTCATCAGAGCCTAATCTCGAATCCTGGCCCAAATTTGATCTAGATGAGTCAGTCTTTGTCTGTGCCTCCGTTCTTTGACGAAAGCAACTGTGTACTGGAAAGTGAGAATGAGAGCATTTCTTCAGGTCTTAGATGAACATGTTTGGGTTAGCGTGCAAAATCGCTGGTCTCCTCCCACAACTGTTATGACAGGTGTGGCTATCTTTTAGATACTTCACTTTGGACTAGGGGTGAACTAGCAGTCTGTATCTGGAATAGTAAAGGACTTCATTCACTATTAATGGTTGTATCTCTTAAGGAGTTTAGGCGATTTTCAATATGTGAGACCATTAAAGAGGTTTGGGACATTTTGGAAACCACACACGGAGGAACCAAAACCATTAAAAATTCTAAGCTACAGATGTTGACTTCTAGGTCCGAAGAAATCAAAATGAAGGAAGATGAATCATTTGATGAGTTTTATGCTAATTTGAATGATATTGTAAACTCTAGTTTCAACTTAGGAGAAAAGATACCCGAGTCTTAGATAATTTAAAAAATCCTCAGATCCTTGCCAGAGATGTTTAGACCTAAAGTCATTGCCATTGAAGAAAGTAAGGACATAGATACAGTTAAGATTGAGGAACTTGTAGAATCTCTTCAAACCTATGAGCTCACCGTAGCACAACCTTGGAAAAGTAAGTCCATTGCATTAAGCACCTTGAAGGAAGAGGAGTCCTATTCGTTTGATATAGTCTCTTAGGGATGAGGAGATAGCTTACTTTGTTAAAAAGTTTCAAAAAGTCCTTAGAAACAAGAGAAAACCTTAGGAAAGAAAAAATGGGGTTCCTGTTAGAGTTTTGAAAAACAAGCATGACAAGGTAGGAAATAAGAACTCTAAAGATAAAGCCCGTCTATATATCTGGATTGACTGCTATTTCCAATGTGCTTTATGTAAAAGGCCTAAGTCTAATTTGCTAAGCATAAGATATATCTACGATGCTGATTACGAGGTTAGTTTTGTCCAAAAGGGTGTACTGTCTATGACTCTTCAGGAGGAGTTGTTCTTGAAGGTGTCAAGACTTCTGACAACTGCTATAGTGTTATCCCGAATTCCAACTATGTGTATAGCAGTGCTAAGATTGATGTGACTGAATTGTGGCATCAAAGACTCGATCACCTATACTATAAGAGTTTGTCAAAATTGGCCAAAAAGGAACAAGTTGATGGTCTACCCAAACTTGAACTGGTAGACAATGCAATATGGAGACCATGTCAGCTAGGCAAACAACTAAGGGTACATCATAAACCAACCACTAAAATCTTGATAAATAGGCCTCTTGAACTACTCTACATGGATTTGATAGGACCACCTATGACTGAGAGTCAAGTAGGCAAGCGCTATATATTGGTTGTCATAGATGATTTCTCTAGGTATACGTGGATCGAATTATTGAGGGAAAAATCTGAAGCAACTAGTTTGATAAAATCCTCGTGCAAATGACTCAGTAATGAACAAAGTCTCATGGTATCTAGAGTTTGAAGTGATTATGGATGAGAGTCTGAAAACCCAAACCTTGAAAGTTTTATATAGAGGAGGGAATGCTGCCTGAGTTCTCCTTTCCTATCAATCCACAACAGAATGGGGTAGTAGAGAGAAAAATCGAGTACTTCGAGATATGACTAGAGCCATGCTTCACGGCAAGGGGCTGGCACTTCATTTCTGGAGAGAAGCCATTAACACTGCAGGCCACATAGTCAATAGAGTCTACCTTCGACCTAAAACTGATAAGACCCCTTATGAGATTTTGAAGGGCAAAATGCCAACTATCAAATACTTTTGTGTGTTTGACAGCAAGTGCTACATTCTAAGAGACAAAGAGAACTTGGGGGTAAGTTTGACTACAAGAGTGATGATGGGATCTTTTTAGGATACTTTAGAAACAACAGAGCTATCGAGTATACGATTCACTCACTCGAGTCGTTATGGAATTGATAAATGTGGATTGATGCTATCAGTGAGGGAAAATGGGCGTTAAATTGGGGTAAGATGCAGAATTCAGGTAAAGATCCGGTAACATCTAGTGAACCCTAAATACCTTCGCCATTTCATGAAAAATGCTTGGAGTGTCCATTGTGAGAAAACAATTTCACTCTTCAAAAACATACAATCTATCCTCCATTAATTTTGGCGACAGAAAAACATCAAAACCTGAAATTCAAACACAAAAACCAAAAGCTTGTAGAGGATTTGTTAAGAGATTGAAAATTAAGGAAAATGACTGGAGTTCTAGTTGTTGGAGAACATGGAGTTATGAGGGAATCCACAAGAGATAGACGAGATCAAAAGCTGGGAGTTGGTGCAGAAGCACGCGATCCAAGAGAGCTTTGGGAATTGCAGTACAGGAGGTCGAAAAACACGTGTTGGTCGAGTCTAGCGGTATTGTAAGTTGTTTTAATTTGTAGTGGATTCATACTGGCTTGTGCCTGAAGTTTTTACCCATTTGGGGTTTCTATGTTATCAAATTTTCTGCGATCTTTACTTTCCGGCAATTTATTATATTGCGGTAATTTAACATTGGGTAGATTGTATGAAAATTGAACTAGACTAATTAATAACTGTACTGCGCCACAATTTTTATTTGAATTTACTAAATTCCGTACAAACACATATTCACCCCCCTCTAGGTGTAATTTGGTTCGAACTGTGTAACTTTCAATACTCTACTAAATTGTAATTATTAATATTGAAATGTAACAAGACAAAATTCTTTACAACTGCCCTACAGCAGTAAGTGAAGGCAATAATTATGTAGTTGACCCTTTTTTTTTCCTTTAAACTTTGGCTTACAAGATGTTCAACCATTGAACATACAAAACCTCTAATGTACCAGGGAAAAATGATTTTTTTAATTCAAATACAATCAAATAAGAAAGTTCAGAGAACGTTGATTTGCAGCCAGAGAAGACCTTCTATATAGACTTTGAAACTTGAGCGTTACAAGAATACAACAGAAATCCAACTCATTTTACTAATAAGAACCAACAAATGACTAGGTATTAGAATACCTTCTTGACATCTATTAGACTTTACAAAACTCGTGGAGAGAGTGCTCTTGCCAAAGAAGTTGATCTTGACCAATCAATTAGTGAGGCCTAGCCCCTAAGAATCCATCTCAAATGTTCCTGAAAATGGTTAATTACCATCACCAGATATAAGATTCTTCAGGATCTATTTGACCTAGGAAAAGGTCAGTTAAAATATTAAATGCAAAAACTTCAAGCTATTAGACTACATGACGGGGGATCAAGGTCCTCTCAACACTAGATTGCATATATCATCATTAAATAATTTTAAAAATTTATATATAGCTCTAGAAGCCATCTGTTCTCAAGATTTTTTATTTTAAAAAATCTCCAAGGTCTTAATACTTACGTCAGGAAGTTTCCTAAATTAATTTTAAGGGACTGTTTAATAATTTTGTTCCCAGTTAATAAAAGTATCCAATATACTATGCCATTGACCTATTTGTTGAGAATTCACTTAAACATGCACAGCAGAATTAAACAGTTTCAATTCTCATTCAGGATTCAGTTTTGTATTTAAATAAGAATTGTGATGAGAAATATATATTTTCTTGATTTTGCAAACTCCTTTGCGTTATTCCTTTCCAGCAACTTGAATCTACCTCCCACAACTGTCCAATTGTCCAGCCTCAAATGAAATCCACACAAAGAATAGACTGCAACTGCTAGGGTTTTTCCTCTTCTGCCAGCAAGAATAATAAAAACCTTATGGACCTCAAACCCTAGCCATGTATTTATATAAACCCAAACGGGCTTGGCCCGGCCCGGCCCGGTCCGGTCCAATATTTAATTAATCTATTTAATTAAACCCAATCCGTGAATTAATTAATCCAATTAATTAATTCGGGAATATAAATAACAAATCCAATTAATTAATTTATCCAACGATTGTTAAATTAATCAATTAGCAATGTGCAATCTTCCAATTCTCTTTTGTGTGCGACCCATTAAATTCCCGACCACGATGCCTAACGACGTGAAATTTTATTTTGATATAATCAAAACTGATAAATTAAACACCATTTTAATTTATCACAAATTCACACTCGCCGTCCCAGATTGACATCTAGCAATGTATCAGGGCAACACATGTGACGGGAAATGTCACGTGGTATGACAAAACCAAAACTGTTCGTTTACCATGAAATTATAATCTCTTCGTCAATATGATCCGATCAACTACGAGATATGGAAGTGTGTCAATTTCGATTATCGATCATATCTTTCATTCTACTATTAAATCAATATGAGTTGAAAGCTCCTTTTCGACTTATATGTATACATTGGCCAAGGATTTCGTTATTGACTTAATTGAACGAAATGCAGATCACAATCTCTTCCTATCTAAGAGTGACGAATCATCTATTGGTCATTCACAACCTTCATATGGTTCTTGACATACCCGAACAATGTCGTATTAGCGGCTCTTGGCAAAGCAATATCCAACACCGTCAAAGTATGACTGTCCTCATACAAGACACTATGATGACCTCAAGTTATAGGACCAATTCCACTACCGAACGTTAGAGATTTACCACTGACACTCAAATAGTTATCCATGTGAAATCTCTTAGCGGGTCTCCAATGTTTTGTTCTATAACAAAACATCCACATGTTCATTTAAGTGTCACCACACTTTAACTCGTGAGATTAGCTACTTATTTCACAAGTAAGAAATGTCACACGTGATGGTCTAACTGAATTAACGATATCCGTATCTCGTCATTACTTACGACCACGGTTTATTCAAGATTCAATCATACGTAATTTGTATCTCACAATTACAACTCTTTGTGATTAACAAATCACTTAAACTTGGATCTTCGGATTCTATTATTTAATATTATTTATCAAAAAATTGATTTAAATAAATAATAGATCTTGCCAAAATTAAATGCATTAAACATATTAAAAGTATTTACAACCTAAATCGATTGGATTTAGGGCATAACACTTACACTACTTTCACAAGCCTTAAAGTGCAAAATAATACTTCTCCTTAAACCAGGGGAATCATGCAATCCTAGAAATATGCTGCCATTTAAACTTTAACATTTGATGTTGAAGATAGTTTCTAACAATTTAACCTTTTGGATCAAGCAGTTCAACAAGAATCAGAGCACGCAAACATCCTCGATTCAAGTCTCACGGCCACTCGTTTAGTCTATGTTTCGGAAGAATTCATATATGATTTAATTTATAAATAAATAAAAATGAGTGGCAGATAATGAATAGTACTTGTGAGGTCATTGGAATGTATGGTTGAAAATGAAGTTTGACCATTTATAAATTTTGCCAAAGGGATGCTTAAATGAAAATGTGCACATGCAAGGTTTTGATGGGAAAAAATAAATCACACTTAAATGTAACGAGACTTGTTGAAGATAATATTTAAATAATATACATGTGACTCCTTTTAACAGCTAAAGTTTTTAGATCAACTGATTCGACAATTAATTTCAAACGAAATATGCATATTTATTTCCTCCATCAGTGCATCATCTTGGTTAGAAAGGAAATACTATTCACCAGGGTTGAAAAAAAATTGTGATTAACCACTTAAATGAAAAAAAAAAAAAATTGTAGATTTTCAACATAACTTTACAGTTAAAAGAAGAAACACAAAAATTATACGTTAATCTCAGCCCTTGTTTGAGCCCCTTTTTGGGAGGAAAAGAATGTATTTTGAATAGTAATCGCTGGAGAATATGCAGTTAAAAATTAATGAAATTTTTTGAATTTGCGTGTAATATTATTTTATTAAAGAATGTGTGGTAAAAAATGTGTTTTGAAAAATGAATTTTAGGAAGAATGGAGCTCAAATAAGGGTTTAAACTGTTCAGTGGAAAAAGTACATTGACTCCAACCATGTGTCTAAGTAATTGGGATTATATTTATAACAATACATATACAATGACCAGAGACTAGTAAATTAACTGTCGCAGAGAAATCTCCAGATAACCAATAACAGTGCCCAGGAAAAATAAAAAATAGATCTATGCCAATCAGTTATTATAATGGGCTTTACAAATGGTAAATCATGCACAGTAAAATCGAGAAGTAAAGGAGTCAATTTCATTGACTTCAGTTCTGTAACTAACCAGCAAATGAGAGAAGTCAAGCTCTTTATGTGTGACTGAGAATTCTATGTCAAAGGGCGCAATCTGAAATACTAAATTCTATGATAAGTAAATATAGACAAATATTAATTCCTATAGTAATCAATGGTCAAAGAGAAAACAGAACTCGCTCACTGTGGATTAGAAGATGCTCCATAAGAAAAAGTTGTCCGTCCATTGTGGATGATCTTTTAGCAATTAGTTTGCTAGCTTTCTGTTACAAATAAAAAAAATTGGCAATAGTTGACCAATTAAATTAATGCATTAAAAAATTGGCTTGAAAATAATAATGATAAAGAGGCTAACTCAAGATCAAGAACCAAGATTCCATTGACAATAAATCAATAATCAGTCAAGAATAAGAGTCATAAAAGGAACCAAAAAGACGTGCTTAAAAACTTCCAGAAGTAGGGGTGTGCTTTGGTGTAGTCATTTTCTAACAAAAGCCAAATTCCAGCTCAATTTTGCAAGTGCAACAGTAGCTGAAGCTTGAAGTTGAGAGTTTTGGATTCTAATTTTTTCTCACTTCGTTCCTTTGCAAAAGTGTAGAAGCACTCACTTGGATCGACAAAGAGCAAACTTCAACTGCTTCTTGGTAGAAAGAATCCTGAATAAAAAATGAGTAGTCGAAAAAGTAGTTGTCATATATTAATAGGAGAAGAAAAACTACTTGAATACCTAGGCCAACCCAGTAAAAACTGATTGCTCTAAACAGGATATTGTTTTATCATGAGGAGGGTACCAACTCTTGGAAACATCGGGATTTTGATTGCTCTATAGTTAGCCATCAATGGAGAGAATAATTATTAAAAATATTTCAATCTACATTAAGTAACATAAATATATCAGCAAGCTGCAAGACCATAAAGGGAAAAAAGAAAGTTTGATTAAACCATGTTTACATATTAAATAAAGAATAGATCTAGTCCTTACAGTTCAGTCTAAAAACTCCAATCATGCCAAATAAAAAAAAATTGTGTTACACAGTTAACTGATTTACAAGTTCCATCAAGGTACATAGAAATTAAAGAAATCCAATGAAACAAGTTTAGATATCCTTATATACTATGGAGACCACAGCTAAAAATAAAATAAAGGAAGAAGAATAACTTACCGATGATATTTCCAACTTTGTCTTCGTTGATTGTTCCAACTTGGCAAGATAGCCTAAATCTTCATCCATCAGTAGATAATTTGCTATCTACATACGTGACAAGCACAATATCCTAATAATTTAAAGGCCAATGTCAAACATTAATTTTAATAATTCAGGAACTAGTATTAGGGCAGCCATACTTCAAGCTGATCATATATAGCATAAAGATTTTTGATTGTATTATTGACTCATTGTAAATTAAAAGATTTTAATGTGTAGAATTGAGACCCTTTCCGATAAATCCAAAACCAAAACCACCACCACAACCCAACCATCCAATCACCACCCAATCACTTGTCAGCGTCGAAGATGGGCATATGGCCTCACCGTCAAACCCCAGATCATTGGCCTCACGCCATAAATACAAAGCCACCATTATAGTCGCACACAGGCAATGGCGCTAAATGAAAACCCTAGCTTTGCCTCTCGTATTGAAACAGCGATCAAAGGCGTGCTTCATTGGGTCGATGTGGAGGGTTCAGACACCAACAATCATGGAAGAAGAAAGGGAGAACCTATTACAGTTCAATCTGGGATCCCGCGCCAGTTTACTCAAGATTCAATCATTATCCCAGTAAACGTGTTCGATCGATAGGTTGTGCAGACAATTTCGACATCAGAGAACAGGTGATGTAGATCACGCACTGCTTTGGGGCATGGATCACGTGCCTATACGCCTCGTCGACGACCCTAAAAATTTCATTCAATGATGCTAGGTCGTCCCGCCTGCCTGTTCTGCTGTTAGATGCCCCCCACACAGTCAGGGTAAAAAGTTTGCGAATGCACACAAAATGATGGTTTTTAATAATCATTTTAGACTAGAAGCGGAGGAATTCGTAGTGTCTGTTAACGATTTCGGCACGTTAGAATGATAGAATGGGGTTCAAAGATATCGACTGCAATCTGCATTAAGAGGTTTGGTACACTTTGGATGGTGAAAAAGTTGAGGGTGACTGATAATATAAAGGATTTCGTTGTGAAGTTTAATGAGTCTTCTCGAGCTTTTTGGCACAAGTGATGCGGCAATAACCGTGGTAGGTATCTGATGATAGCATAGTATGGAGAGCGACGTTGGAGAGGAGTGGTGATGGTGCCACAAGGGGAGAGTGCAGAGGGCTGGGCTTCAATTTCACATGTGTTTTCAAAAGGTTAATGTTTGTTGTCGGAGTTAAGGTTAAGCGTCGAACAATTGATGTGGGGGCCAATAAGGGATAACTTATGCTAGAGTTACAGCAAACCTACAAGCCTTACATAACATGGAACAGTGAATACTGTGGCACAAGGAAATGGAGGTTAATGAGAAGGGTGACACACATAAGTCTAAGGAAGCAACAACATAGGGTATAGCCAATTGCTTTCTAAATAGTATTGGATTAAGGGACCACATCAAGACTTTAAAGGGGAAATTGGATGAATTAATTAAGTTAATAGATAGTGGGATTTTAGTGGGTGCTAGTAAGTCTTATTGTAATAAGTAGGGTAGATTTGGATGATTATCTAATCAATGGAAAAAATGTAGCAATCATGAACTCCAAGGAGATGACATCGAACCGAACTTATAGCAAAGAGGTGCTAATTGAGCCAAGTGGTGAGCCCCGGGTACCAACTATAGGAGTAGAGGTAGAACCTTGGGCTAAGGTAAAGGGTTGATTATGTTGAATTCGGAGTCGAAGATTATTGATGCAACTAAAGACAACTGCTACACATTTGAGGGTACAAATTTCCTCATTTCGTACACTATTTGGGTAAATGGATCTTTGGCTATGGTCCATTAGGACTTCTAAAAACTAAAGAAAGAGCGGAATCGCCTTCGATTGATGCACGAATCCAGCAGAAGGGTTGGTTTTGGCAAAAGAGCAAGATACCGAAATTGTATTGGGAGATAGTCCAGCTTTTATAATTGATAAATATCAAAGAGCGACAGGCTCTGCAACTATGGCAGTGAACGTATACACGAGGAGATATTCAAAGGCTATGAGTGAGGGAGATCTAAGAAATGATAAGAGTTTTGGTGGTGTGGTATATAACGTCGAGAATGGATATAGTTATAGCAATGCGGTATAGGTAGGGATAATGAGGAACATATATAAACCTCAGTATGATGAGGAGAAGCGACCCGCATCGTTGAATTGGGTTCTTCAAAAAATTTTGGAATTCAGCAAGATGTTAGGTGTGTCATGTGATGGGTATGAAAATATGCTCTTGCAATTATTCAATGAGAGGATTGATAGGGAGGGATGATAGAGTATTAAGAAGATCTCAAAAATCATTAGTTGGAATGTGATGGGGCTTAATAAAGCAGGGAAAGGTTGGGCATTTGAAATTTGATAAGAGGATGGAGGGCTGACATTGTTTTTGCTTACAAAAAATAAATTTGGAGATCATTTCGAGAGCCATTGTGACTAGCCTGTAGGGGACAACATGTTGGGTATCCATTTCTAGAGTTATCGGGGCCTCATGTGGTGTACTAGTTATGTAGGACACTAGAGTTTTTGATATGGAGAAGGCTAGTGAAGGGCAATTTTTTCTATCGCTTTTGTTTACAAATATTAGGGATAGATGCCAATGGATGTTTATAGGAGCTTATGGCCTAATGCTGATGAGAGTAGATGAGGATTGTGAGATGAGCTCGCTGGTATGATGGCTTTGTAGAACCTCTTGGAGGAGATTTTAATGTGGTTCGGTTATCTACTGAGAGGTCTAGTGGTGGGAGAGTAATAAGGGCTATGGAAGATTTCGCGAATTTTATTAGGGAGAACATGTTGGTAGAGCAGCCTATGATTGGAGAAAATTTTACTTGGTCATCAAATCAGGATCAACCTGTTTTATCTCGGATAGATCAATTTCTAATATGTGAGGAGTGGGAGGCTAAGTATCTAGAGGTTACTCAGAGGAGTTTAGGGAGGATGTATCCAGATCATTTCCCTATTTCGTTATCTGGGATTACGAGGAACATCGGAAGAAGTTCCTTTAGGTTTGATAAGATGTGGCTAAAAGTAGAAGGTTTTGTAGAGCGTGTATGGACATGGTGGGCATCATATGACTTCAACGGGTCTCCCTCTTATATGCTGGATCAAGAAATCTTGGTTGAAAATGAATTGAGAAATGCTAGGCTGGTCCTCTTCTTCCCTCATGTTTTCTTCCCTTTTTTAAACAAGTAATAAGTTGTTTTTCATGCAAGAGAAATAAAGGGCAGCAACACATCCATTTATAGGTGAGAAAAATGATAAATTTTGGGTGACTCTTCAAGAAATTCAACATGCGTAGGCTGCATGGTTTCATTTTTTTAAATTTAAGCATGAGGTGACTAACTGTCATAAAAAAATTGAAGGCTTGAAAAGGGATTTGAAGAGATGGAAAGAGGAGGCGAAAGATGTTAACTGTCATAAAAATCAATGCATGTTAGATATAAAAGAGCGAGATAGAAGAGTGGAGGATGGAGAATTAGCAGGAGATGAGAGGACGAGACGCGAAGAGTTAAGGAGAGAGCTGAAGAGGTTAGAGGAGATGGAGGAAATTGCTTAGCGTCATAAATCTAAGGTTAAGCGATTAAAAGAGGGAGACAAAAGCACTCAGTTTTTTCATAAGGTCGCTAATTCTAACAGGAGAAATAATTCTATCACTATGTTGGAGGTAGCTGGAGTTACTTATAAAGACCCACAAGATATCGTGACCTAAATTGTGAGCTTCTATCAAAATCTTTGTCGAAAGCAGTTTGACTGGAGGCCAGAGTTGGATTAGGTAGGGATAATGAGGAACATATATAAACCTCAGTATGATGAGGAGATGCGACCTGCATTGTCGAATTGGGTTCTCCAAAAAATTTTGGAATTCAGCAAGATGTTAGGTGTGTCATGCGATGGGCATGAAAATATGCTCTTGCAATTATTCAAGGAGAGGATTGATAGGGAGGGATGATAGAGTCTTAAGAAGATCTCAAAAATCATTAGTTGGAATGTGAGGGGGCTTAATGAAGCAGGGAAAGGTTGGGCATTTGAAATTTGATAAGAGGATCGAGGGCTGACATTGTTTTTGCTTACAAAAAATAAATTTGGAGATCATTTCGAGAGCCATTGTGACTAGCCTATAGGAGACAACATGTCGGGTATCAGTTTCTAGGGTTATCGGGGCCTCAGGGGGTGTACTAGTTATGTAGGACACTAGAGTTTTTGATAAGGAGGAGGCTAATGAAGGGAAATTTTCTCTATCGCTTTTGTTTACAAATATTGGGGATAGATGCCAATGGATGTTTATAGGAGCTTATGGCCTAATGCTGATGAGAGTAGATGAGGATTGTGGGATGAGCTAGTTGGTATGATGGCTTTGTAGAACCTCTTGGAGGAGATTTTAATGTGGTTCGGTTCTCTATTGAGAGGTCTAGTCGTGGGAGAGTAATAAGGGCTATGGAAGATTTCACGAATTTTATTAGGGAGAACATGTTGGTAAAGCTGCCTATAATTGGAGAAAATTTTACTTGGTCATCTAATCAGGATCAACCTGTCTTACCTCGGATAGATCAATTTCTAATATGTGGGGAGTGGGAAGCTATGTATCTAGAGGTTACTCAGAGGAGTTTAGGGAGGATGTATCCAGATCATTTCCCTATTTCGTTATCTGGGATTACGAGGAACACCGGAAGAAGTGCCTTTAGGTTTAATAAGATGTGGCTAAAAGTAGAAGGTTTTGTAGAGCGTGTATGGACATGGCGGGCATCGTATGACTTCAAGGGGTCTCCCTCTTATATGCTGGATCAAAAATTGAAGGCGTTGAAAAGGGATTTGAAGAGATGGAAAGAGGAGGTGGAAGATGTTAACTGTCATAAAAATCAATGCATGTTAGATATAAAAGAGCGAGATAGAAGAGAGGAGGGTGGAGAATTGGCAGGAGATGAGAGGACGATACGCGAA